GAGTCCAGCCCGGGGTCGTCACATGTGGTTGCCGCAAGCATCACAGTATGTTAAGGGACGTAAAATTTCCGTCACACGCTTGAGGTATTCGGCCAATCATAACGCACTGGATAGCTGGCCAATCAGAGGACACCTCGCTTTTCAGACCGATGAGCTTTGTAAAAATCGACGCGTTTCAGAAAGGCGGGGCATAGAGGAGAAACAATAATGTACAGTATGTGGAAAATAATGTGTTTTTTTAACCTTAAACCGCATAAACACATTTCATTACACCAAATACACAAAATAATGTTCTTTTTAGCAGCTAAATTTTTTTTAGCAATGAAGCATGTTTCATTTGGTGATTCCAGAAGTTATATTGGTATTTCTTTTAATAAGCTATGTTCTTCAATATAAACAATAGTTATTGAGGGGAAATAAAAAGAAATATAATTTCAGTTTAATTTGGATTAGAGTTCGATGTGGCCCCCCAATTGAGAACCACTAGTTTAGACCATTAAAGAAAAACTTTTAAACACTGAAAAAGCAGAGCAACAGGAATGTTATCATTTGTAGCGTCTGTCGCCAATCCACTGTTTCTTTCTCACTACAAAATGAAAGGTTTGATTGTTCTGCCCCAAATAAGATCGTGTGAAAGCAGCAGTAACACGGGACACGTTGACTTGTTTGGCTCAGGTGAAGTACGTGACCATGACTTCCGTCCTGGAGTTTGATCAGAATGTTGTTTGTCTGTATATTATTTTTCTCACCTTTGGATCAGAGGTTAAAATGATTCAAGGTCTCCTTTTGAATCATCTGCACTCCGTGTGTCCTCCCTGTTACTATCTGCCCATGTTTCATTTGTGCTTGTCACGTTTCCATTTTTCTATGGATTTATCGGCAAGAAATGATTAGGTGTGAAAGGTGCTTGTTTAAATGGGAGCTCCTCTGGTTGAAAGCTGCCATCCAAAGCTTTGAGAGAAAATATATAGGCCTACCTATAGATGCAATATAGTAGGATTTGCTGACACAGAAGCAGCTCTTCATCAGTTGGCCATTAGAAGCTTCTTCAGATGCTCCTTTAAGGGTGTTCTTATGCAGTTTCTGATCTGCTATGGGAAAAACTACATTCCTTTGAGTTCTGTACTGGAGTTTGATCTGTATGTTACTTATCTGTATATTATTTACCTTTGGATCAGAGGTTAAAATGATTCAAGGCTTCTTTTTCGATCATTTGCGGATCCGGTGTATTGTGACTTACCTTCATTTAGTCGGTTTTTACTTTTTTGTTTTTGAGATTCTTTCCTTTTTCCCCCCCTGGTTGGCACATTCTTCTCGTCTATTGGGCAAAAACATTGGGTGTTACTTTAGTTCCCATTCTGTGGTGCTTGTTTAAAAGTGTTTCTTCGTCTGATGGTTAGTTAGTAAGTAACAAGAACAGAGAAAATATATACCTATGAATATCTTATAGTAGGATTTGCTGATGATACGAGTCTATCAGTTGCAAAACATCCCAAATCCATCAAAAACATCTTCAGATGCTCCTTCAAGAGCTGTTGAGTTGTTGTTCTGGCCTGCAGTGAAGAATGAAGCACAAGCTAATTCAGATATTTCTATTAGAAGACGCTATGTGCTAGCTGTAGTCATGTTTGAAGTATATACAGAGCAAATGCAGTCATTAGAAATACACACTTTGCCTGACCTATGGAAATATGTAATGAAATAAGGGATAAAGGATATGAAATTACTCGGTCGCTATCTCGTTGAAAATGACTCGGTGAGAAAACCGCGGTTTTTCCCCTGCCGTTCCTGCGTATGACGTCATGAATAAATTAGAACGCTGTATCCAGGCAACCGAAGCAAAACACTGACGAGATTATCGTGATAATCGTGCTTGGATTGCAGATTAATAATATATTTCATTTTGTGGATATTGATGCAGTCTTTTTCTGCTAGTACGATTATTGTTCCCTGAAATATTTTCCTTGGAAAAAAAATCACAAGCAAATAAAATAATTCCAACTCAAATGTCCGTGTTTTTTCATGTCCATATATTTAATAGATTAGAAATACGCATCCATGCGTATTTATATTAGAACAAATGTCAATAAAACACCAAAGTTACTTTTATTTTAGATTATTAAGTCAAACTTAATTTGAAAAATATTATAATATATATTTTTTCAAATTCCAGTGACGAAGATTAATAAAGTGGCATTTGACTCACGAAGCGATTAAACATTTGTAAAAAATAAATATCAATCAATCAAGCAACACTAACATACTAAGTGTTTGGTCCCTAAGTGTCTCCTAAATTTTGATGGTTTAATGCTATTGATGATAACTGCACAAAACACATCGTGGGTGACACAAATCAAGTTCAAACTTGTTGCACATAGTTAACTTTGTATAATAAAACAAGTTTGCATCCACCTTTTTCTTCAACGCGGAAGTAAGCCTATGGGTGAGACTTCCGGTTCATTAGCCGCTATAGATAAATAACGAGGAGAATAACAACATGTAGTAGCCGGTAAAACTGTTTGCACTACAAACCAGTGTGTTCATAATTAAGATAATACACTAAAATAATATAAGACGCACCAACTTTCAATATCAAGCAGCAAAACGAACTGTTTTGTTCAGCTAAAAATAGCTGGACGCAGATGAGACCGGAAGCCAGACCCATAGAATTTACAAATGGCCGCGCCCATTTATACAACAATGAAAAGGTGGATTAGTTGTGTTACTGGTTTTAACAAAAGTTTTTACTACCATTCTAATTTGACTAGCTTTTAAATTAATTTGTGACAATTTGGTGCCAAAAACAAAAAGCTCTTCTCGCTTTCAAAAGATAATAAAGTCTATCTCATTTGCCATCCTAACGCTGCAGAATTAAATAAAGAGCACTGTTGTGGGGTGCATTAATGGAGAAACTGAATAGATTCAATTCATTTACTCACCTGTAACTTCATGTTATCCAGAAAACACTACATATTCTAATTCTCTTAAAGACTTCAAAGCAAACTCTCCCAAAATAATACCAATACTACCATTCAATACTTGCGAGATGACCTGTTTAAGCTCTTAAAAAAGGCTGGTGAACATTAGCCGATGAACAATGGAAGCAGATGTGGACAGAGACATAACCCCAGAAACATCTGGATTCCTGATGAAGACGAGAACCTTCACATTCCACAAGCTGAAGCCATAAAACACACACACAGACAAAAGAGTACTCCAAGCATGTCACAATAAAACTATATTTATAAATTAAAAAAAGAAATCTCCTTAACAAGGTACTTCAAAAATTCTCCCAATACAATATTGCTGACAAACACTGAAAAATATATTCTCAGTAAAAACAATTTCCATGAATAATGAAATATCTGCATGAGACTGAGAGAAAAAATGTAAAAAGGGCTTAAGAACCTCCAAATACGCACTAAAACAGGCCAACAGAAATGTTGAAATCTGACATTTACGTCCTTGGTTGGACTACATTCACCTTGAATCCTCACACCCATATAGTGTTGTAACTAAATCCCATTCAATTATTGCTATTTCTCTCAAAAGCACTCTTTTTTGTCCATAAGAGGAAATCATTCCATTTTCTTCAACAGAACATTTCCCAACTATTTTGAGGTGAATTTGTAGATTTAGTAAAACATCTTAATCTGTTATTGTAAGCATGAACCGTTTGCTTATGCTTTAGTAGACTCATTTCTAAGACCTAAGTGATGTTGGGGCTCATAAGCTACTGAATTTTAGGTCAGCACTAATCCTAATTCTAATCGGCTGCACTAGTAGGCCACTTGTTTTGTAATTTACAAGGCAAAAAAATAGTTTGGGCACTTCTTCTAGCAACAGTCACATGATGTCGACGAAGAACTCCCCATTGGCTGTGTTGCACGAGCGTCGTGAGCCCGTGAGTTCGGGGGGGATGCTGGCGAGGTGGCGGCTGGACGGCGACCCCGGGCCGCCTCGTGCAGATCCCTGCTTCAGGCTGTAGCTGTGAGATCGTGAGCTTCGCACACTGCCCTCACTGGGCGGCACCGAGCGCTCACTGGTGGCTCTGTCTCTGCAGAAGTCAAACTCGTGTGTGTCTCCCATTTCGCTTCCTCCTCCTAACCTGAAGTCTCCAGCTGTGGTTTTCCCCTCAGTCCGGCTCCAGCTGCAGTTTGAACCGCTGCTCCCTACGGACAGTAACACTAGCGTAAGTAAGCCGCTGTTTGAGATTGTTAGCAGTGTGATTTGAGGTTACTCACCTTCGCTGTGCTGGCTGCCTGCGCTGCCTCCACCGGCTTCAGAGTAGCTGTGAGCTGCATCCGGGAGGGAATGGGCTGGTGGGTACTGGTAAGGGAACGCGGTGGGCCAGGGAGCTTCAGCAGGGTGAAGCAATGGAGCGAGAGTGTCCTGATCAGACGCCCCGCTGGATCCGTCATGCTCATGCAGTGAAAGATGGGCCATGTCTACAACAAAACACAGTCAACGTTGATAAGAGTGTCAGCACAATGTAAAACTGAATGTACAGTGACTATTTCGTTAACGAAAAATATTTGCTGATGACCATTTAAGTTGAAATGACAATGACCTTAATGACATTAAAACCTCTGACTATATCAGCTTGCATTATTGTTGACAAAAAAAAGAGAAGATGTTAACACTTTCTTAAACCAAATAAAGAGGAGAAAAAAATATCGACCTCAACATGTTTCCATGCTTGGGGTTCCCAGATGTCAAGAGTTTAAATCCACCTATCAGAGCTTCTCTCGTAAAAAGGACACATTTTCTGCCCTGTGTTTGTCTTTATCTTCACAACCTGGCAACGGTTCATTCTCTCTTACACTACGGAAAAAGCACTGATGATATGGAAACATCGACAAACTTGTATGTTGAGTTTAGTGATCTCCAATCGAAATATTCTGCTGAAATGAAAGTATTTTTTTGTTGTTTTAATAGAAAGACATGAATATAATTTGGAATTAATATTAGAAATGATACTGTTTTGAGAGAAGCTGTTTAGTTTTAACCGTTTTCATAATGAGAGTGTGTTTAGATTAATAATATAATAAATCAGGAATCTAGATGAGGTAAAATAAACCATGTGTATGCATTAAGGTGAAAGCGTAATAATTCTGGTGCATTTCTCAAAGGACAACGGTCATGATCAGTAATCGCAATTACAAGTTTGAGTAAATTAATTGTGATTTAGTTTAACAATTGAACAATTATGCAATCATATCATGACTAAAAATTTTAATCAACTAAACCTAGACTAAAGTTCCCAGACTTTTATTCAACTACAACTTGACTGAACAAAAAACAGGACAGAATGACTAAATACGATTAAAAACTAAAAAGGACATTTGACAGAAAATAAGTTAAAAAATTAAAAAAAAAAACATCTGACAAATTTAACACTAACAGTGCTGGTAATAAAGATGACTAAACTCACTGGGACAAATGATGTATTAGGCTCTGGAGAGCTACATATATAATTTTTCCTTGTACTGACAGGACTACACCAAACAGCACTAGAATATTTACACAACTACATAAACAGAAAATGAACTGTAGTGGTGAAAGTACTTACTGCCAGAAAGATCTCCAAAGATGTAGTAGCACTGCTCTGAGAAGGTGATTTTGTTGACAGTGTGGCGGATGAAGCCGGCTTTCAACAGGTTGCTGGCGTACTTTCGTGCTTCACGGCGATCTGCAAACCCCTCCACGTGATGAAACAGCCAGTCAACCACATCAGAGCCTGTAAGACAACATATGCACCAATTAGATATAGCAGCTCCATGAAGCGGTTTGCTAATATTTATATTAAAATTACAATGATTATAAAATGTGTTTATTTTTCTTCCCTATTGTGAAGCAAATTATCTGAATGTAACAAATTATAGAAATGATCATAAAAATGCAGGACAGGGACTTGGTTCTATCCATTGGTTGTTGACTGGATTATGAGATGTAGGCTTGCAGTCGATTACAGAGGGACGGGGTTTAAACAGACAACTGTTAATCATTGGAGAAGTCTGTCATTTTACCGCAAGATAAAGTTATGACATTTTGATTAAATATTACAAGATGAAAAAAAAAAAAAAAGTATATGTATACATGGATTGATCGCTCACAATAAGACCAATAACATGCATTTACCAAAAAAAAACCCCAGATAAATTGTAATTTAATGCAAACTTTACATACTTGGCAATTACAATAATCCCTCTAATCCAGGAACTTGTCATTCAAATGAGATCACAGCAATTAGCAAACAACTGTGATCAAAATATCCAATCAATTCTTGATGGACGAAAACAAATCCCATCCAACATTTTATCACTCAGATAAATGTTCCAAATGGACAAATCAATCAAAGTTTCAGTTTCATGCTGACGTTTAGCTAATATACAGAGTACAATTATGAAGATCAACTAATAAATAATTTAAAAACACCTTTACTAATTGTAAGCACTATAAAGTGGGTCTTGACCTATGAAAGCATTGGCTATAGTGATCTTCAGCCACATTCTGTCTCGAACTTCCAGTCCTGAGTCTGGACAGGCCATTGCTTTTGCAACTGTTGCCATGTCGCTGTGGACAGACAGGTGGTAGTCATCAAATCCTGCGAGAAGTACAACACACAGTTAACAAGAGCACAAAACACATAGCATCTGCCTGGTGGCGAGAAACCAGGACCTCCCACGTTCCACACACAAGTATCTAGATATGACTCAAGTCCTCTCAATAGAAGTCAATGGGATTGATTTTTTTTTTTACACATTGCCAGGTCAACTAGTAAGTCTGAACACTTAGAAAATGGAACACCTCAACAAGTCACAGGATTTAAGGGATCATTCATGCCCATACCAACTGTTGTGGGATGAACGCCACAAAATTTAGATTTAGCTTTTTAGCTTTAGCAAAGAAATTTAAAGTTGTTGAAGCAGATGTCTCACTCTCAGTCTCTGGGATGGAGCTGGGAGCTGGTGGGCTGGTGGAGGTGACTGTGCTCATTGAAGGACTCATGCCGTAGGGAGGATAGACGCCCGTCATGGCTGCTGTATGGGACACCCAGGCTGCAGGGTCAATGGGCCGGATGGGCTCACCTTAGACAGAAGGCAACCAGTACTCAACAAAGCTGTACAGAACAGGTGAGTTTGACAGAGAACTATCTAAACCCTGTTGTTCAAACTACCACAATACATTGTAATGGCTGTGCAACACTTTTATTTGAAAAATAAAACTTCTTCAGTGGTTCTTTGCAGCACTTTACAAGTAATATGTTTTTGAACATTAAAGGGGTCATATGATGCAATTTCAAGTTTTCCTTTCTCTTTGGAGTGTTACAAGCTGTTCGTGCATAGGTAAGATCCCTAAAATTGCAAAGACTAAAGTCTCAAACCTAAAGAGATATTCTTTAAAAAAAATTAAGACTCGTCCACGCCTTCCTAAAACGCCTCGTTTAAACCCCATATGTCTACGTCACTGTGTGGGAAGATTTGCATAACGCCGGCCAAATGTTCACGCAAAGACAGAAGGCGTAACTTTTATTCTCGCTGTAGTATTGTTGCTGCCGCCATGTTGTGGAGATGCTGTGTGTTTCATTGTGAAAGCGAAACTACTTAGTTTTTCCTTCCAAAAGAGGACACAACTAGAACTAGAACAGTTTACAACACTGTTCCAGAACAGTTCAACCCAAATATTCAGATTTGTGCAGCGCAATTTACGGAGGACTGCTTCCTGAACCTGGGAGAGTAGACTACAATGCTGTGCACAAAGGTTGTTTCTATAAAGTGGGGCAATTTCAACTTTGCATGGCGCTTCTGACTCACAGACTGTAAGTACGTTTTCATATTTAAAGAATTTGCCACTGACGATTCAAACGCGAGTTTTGAGCAGTGTAGAGTAGCGCTTGTTGTTTGTCATTTCTCCGATCACAAATGCAGACATGGTTTTATGTTTACGCAGCGCGTTACGCAACGCAACGTGTAAAAAGACAGTATAAGTCATTATAATCCGTAATTATGTCCCCACTGGATGCAACAAATGCCTCGTTTATAATGAGTTTTAATGTTTTTGTCTCGTCGCTCCATCACAGTATGGTAAGGGCCGTAACATTTCCGTCACACGCTTGAGGTATTCGGCCAATCACAATGCACTGGATAGCTGACCAATCAGAGCACACTTCGCTTTTCAGAACGATGAGCTTTGTAAAAATCGACGCGTTTCACAAAGGCGGGGCATAGAGGAGCAACAATAATGTACAGTATGTGGAAAATAATGTGTTTTTTTAACCTTAAACCGCATAAACATTTCATTACACCAAATAATGTTATTTTTAGCAACATCATATGACCCCTTTAAAAAGGACATCGGGATATATAACTTCAAATCTTACCCTCCTATGTAGCATTCAAATCTATTATACTTTGTCAGTGTAAAATGTGTAAAAATGCAAATGAAATTTGAGAGCTTATCAGTGAAAGACAAAATCATATGATTTCAAAAGGTGTACACAATACTTTACAAAAGTTTGGGGTCAGTAAGATTTGATGTTTTTGAAAAAAGGCCTCTAATGCTCACCAAGGCTGCATTTATTTAAAGGGTTAGTTCACCCAAAAATGAAAATTCTGTCATTAATTACTCACCCTCATATCGTTCTAAACCCGTAAGACCTCTGTTCATCTTCGGAACACAAATTAAGATATTTTTGATGAATTCTGAGAGCTCTCTGACCCTCCCATAGACAGCAAGGTAACTACCACGATCAAGGTGCAGAAACATAGCAAGGAGATCGGTAAAATAATCCATGTGACATCAGGGGTTCAACAATAATTAATTTTACTTTTAAATATTTTTGTACGCAAAGAAAACAAAAATAACGATTTTATTCAACAACTCGTCTCCTCCGCGTCACCCTGGCGCCATTTTGGAGAATATCCACTAAACGTAAACAGCGTATGCTATTCTGTGTCAGCTGCGTCACGCGGATACTTTTTTCTACGTTGTTTACGCATTGATTCGAATGAAAACAACGTATCCGTGTGACGCAGCTGACAAAGAATAGCATACGCCGAACTATCCCTTTAATCTAGTAAACACAACAATATTGTGAAATATTATTACACTTAACTCTTTTCTATTTGAATGTATTTTAAAATGTCATTTATTCCTGTAATCAAAGTTGATTTTTCAGCATTATTACTCCATTCTTCAGTGTCACATGATTCTTCAGAAATCATTTTTGCTGCTTAAACGTTTGTGACATTAGTATGTAGTAATTTATTATTTTTTTCCCCAAAAAAAATAAAGAAAGAAAACCGTACTGTCTCTACTGATGGTCGCATATCTTATGGTGCATCTATGTGTAAATGAGTGTGTGAGAGGGAAAAAATTAAAAATGAACACTCACTCCTTGGCAAAGCAAAGCAACTGTTCGGGTTTGGGTCCCAGCATTTGGCAACAGTAAGTGACACGGGTCTGCAAAAAAAAAAAAAGAAGTGGTGCAGCTGTTGATAAGCTAAACAGGTCCCATAAAACATGAATGTTTTGTAATGTGACTCACCCAGGCTTATGCACGATCTCCCTCAGCACTCGTACGGCATCATCGTTGCACATGTTCTCAAAGTTGATGTCATTCACCTGTGAGAAGAAACAGAAATCTGAACTGATACAACCAGCTTCTGTGTCAGATTCCTATCCCGAACACGTCTTCCTCCAGTCCTCACCTGCAGCAGCATGTCACCAGGCTCGATCCGCCCATCGGCCGCCACCGCTCCACCCTTCATTATGGAGCCGATGTAGATGCCTCCATCACCGCGCTCGTTACTCTGACCCACGATACTGATGCCCAGGAAGTTATACTTCTCTAAATGAGGTAAAGCAAGTCAGACTTCAGGCAACTAGTTGACATTACTTTAGCTTTGCACATATGTAATATCATCCTTAGATTATAAAACAGGGTCTTCAGGGAGAGAAAAAAAACACTTTATTACACATTTTTATTACACTGCACCAATATAATTAAAGGTATTAAAGCACTCAAGGTTGTGCCTTATTGTTCATATAATCAGAGTTTAATTAAAAAGCAACAAATAAAACCGTATAATACAGACTCACCCATATTTAAAGTGACAGTGATGATATTCAGAGACATAGTAGAGTCAGTGATGCTACTGAAAGATGAAGACTGAAGAAAGAAAGACAAAGATAGTTTGAAATACAGTATGTTTTATATATCGTATCAGACACTTCAGAGTTCTGCCCACTGTCTCACCCTCTCCATTTGCTGGGCTTTGGGTCTGCGTCTCCGCCGGCGGTGTCGTCTCATTAGCCTGGATGAGCCGCTTTGCTCCGTAACACTGGACGAGGACAGAATGTGAAACATTATTGATCACTAGGAAAAGGAATCAGAAAGAATTTATACGGATAGTTCACCTAAAACTGAAAATTCTGTCACCTTCATGTCATCACTATCAGTTATCTTTGAAGATATTTTTAATGAAACCAGAGAGACTTCTGTCACTCCACTGAAAGATTTAAGTCCCCCAAAATGTTGACGTTTTCATATGAATCAAAACAGTTAAAACCAAGTTTTCTGAAGCGGAATGATTAATTTATGAAAAAACTATTTAATTATGCTGTCGTTTTCTTTCAATTGAGAGATATAAATCTCTCAGATTTCATTACAAATATAGAAGATGAATAAAAGTCGTACAGGGTTGGGACGGCATTACAGTAAATAAATGATGACAGAATTTCTGGAAAACTTTAACAGCTCTGAGTCAGCATCTGATTCCATGTAATGACTTTTAGTACTTTTCAGGTAGCAGTCAATAAATACTCTACAAAAATACTAAACCAAATATCAAAACAAATTAGGGCTGCATGATAAATTGTATTTT